AAAAATAAACTATTACCGTTCGCAGATTATGTTCATTTGAATGTTATTATGGTTTTAAATTTAAAAACACAGATGTTTTGGGAAAGCTTTTACATAGGTCAGAATACTCACAAAGGGTTTTCATTATCCTAAATTTATTATCCTAATTTTACGAATTAATCAAGCAGCTTATTAAAGGCCCATTATGCCTCAGAAATGCTATCATTTTTTCATTTCTGAAAAAAAACTTTTTATTTTTTGTATCATGTTACGGTTTCAAAAATTCTCGTTTGCCACATAGATGAACTATATTTTGCTCTCTTTTCTCTGTTGGCAATTTGGCATAATTAAGGTGGATTAGTATTTTGTAAGGGAGTCAAAATACTATTCTGTTTGCATTGTGCTACCTTTATGACACATCAGATGTAAAACATCTAACATACAATTAATAAATTATTATAACATTATCAAACATATGTTTGACATTTCTAAACGATAAACAAATATGGATTTTGAAGGCATAATGTGCTTATAATATAGCAACATCGGCCGATGATGTATTAACCCTGCGATATAGTTTAAAGTCGTGACAATCTAAAAAACAAACAAGATCTGCTTATAAAGTCCAGTTGTTACTTATATAACATAAACATTTGAAGGTCAATAAACTTTCGTCACGGTATCTGCTTCATAATCATGAGTCGATGTATCACATTGAGGAATCTGTTCATGATACTGTTAACTTCTGAATCTTGAACATATCTATATTGTGACAATTTTTTAGTTTATTAATTATGGAGATTGATTTTACTTTGGATTAAAAACAGAGTCTTCATTTTATCAGTAATGAATACCAGTACTACTAATTTGTTGTAAATGTTAATTGCATTTTCAGGTTACCATAAATCATTCTGATAAGCACAATACCTGAGCTGGTCAGGTCAATTATCTAATACATGTTGGTCTGTTATACCAATTTATTACATTTCCAGGTAACCTGATCTTTTCAGGTACTCTAAATGAATATATGACATTTTCAGGCCTTACCCACTTTCTGCCGGGTTACTTATGCAATATCATTTGATATAATTCAACATTAGTCAATTTCAGTATACTAATCATTTCTTCAGGTATACCTGAACTTTTAGAGTTATGTTTTAGTATAAATAGTAGGTTTATTCTCAGAAAGGGAGATTTTAGATTGAGTTTTGGATTAGATAGTTTTTGATTGGGAGATAAGTTTGAGATTAGGTTAGGATGGAAATTAGGGAGAAATATAGAAATATGGAAAAGAAAATATTTGAGTATTTCAGTATAATTCATCAGAAGTTTTATTTTTAATGTTGTAAATATTTTAATAATGTCATGTTTGAGTGCAATAAAGTTTAATATGTTTGTGCGTTTGCGAATAAATGAAAAATAAATACGTAGAAGTAGAAACTGTATTCTTATGTGTTTATTTCGTGCCTGATGAATGTTTTTTTTTCATGCAGGACTTTGTTAGCCAGACTTACCTCTCCAATGCTACTTAAGGAGTAGGGACTAAGTTTGGTTACAATATGCAATAATACTTTTAAATTTCTTGATTGGAATAGTCGAAATATATTTGCTGTTCCTTGAAGTGTTGAAGTCCTTGTAGACAATAAAATTGCAGGGTAAGTCGATACCAGATCGTGTGTTTACATTAATAGATATCAAATAAATATTTCCATGCCAATTATCCATTTTGTCAACGATTTTTATTATAGTCAGAACACACACACAAACACACACACACACAACAAACGCACGCACAAACGCAAACACACACATACATATGTTTTAAATTAAGTATGATGTAGTATAAATAAAGAATCAAAAGACATTCAGAAATGTATAAGATATGTTACACCTCCTTAATGTCAATTTCTACACTGTCTGGTAATAGATAGCTATAGCCTTTTGTTTTTGTTTTTACGCATGCAGAAAATAATCCAGACGGTCTAATGATCATCTGATAAATCGTTCAATTATTTAGGTTTCAAGTTGCGAATTCGTGGCGATGAATACTGTTATATAACATGTTTAATAAGACAGAATGATAGTGGTGCTTTCTTTCAATAGCGACAAAATTTACTTGATCATATTTTGATTAATGAACCCAATAGTTAATAGTTAGTAAATTTCTTGCAAAATGTTTGTAACCCGATGTCTGTAACCCCAAATGTATGTAATCTTAGAAACAAATATAAAACTAAATGTCATCTTAATTGTACCGACGGTGTCAAAAACTGTCAATGTATTATATTTTAACACTAAGAAATATAATTATTGTGAGAATTTCTGCCTTATTTTTAACGCGTTACACCGTTTTTTAAGTTAAAGAATATTGTAACCAAACACTCGTATACTATGGCCAAAAAATTTTTAGTGCTTTTATTCCATTTTGGGCTTTTTTTGATATGGGGGACTTACATTTTGCTTGTTTCTTTACTTTTTTTTAGGGAAAATTTAAAACCTGCGTTTTGCTGAATTAAAATCATCCCCTTTTTAAATTACTAAATTTTGCATTTTTCATGAAAATCCCAACCTTATGTTTTTCCCTTTACAAAACCTTTCAAACTAAACTTTTTTTAATATCTATAGGGTTTAAATTGCACTTTTTAAAGGAAAACCCTATTTTTTTTGGGGTTTTTTAAGTTTAAAAAATTCTTTGCTTGTTTTTTGATAAACTTTTATGAAAACAGGGTTTAATTTTTCTGCAGTATCTTTAATTTGCTATAAATCTGCTATGGAAGCTTGAATTGACCCCCTAGATGCCATGTTCGTATTTAACTCGTGTGTCGGCATGTCGACCCTTACCAAAAAAAGGGCTCTCTGGTGAACATTGCGGCAAGTTTGCCGCAAACATTGCGGTGAGTTTGCGGCAAACTGCTTTCAGCAATTATTTACCATGCAAATGAGGTTTGCGGCAAATTTGCCGCAACTCATGAGGTTAGCGGCAAACTTGCCGCAAACTATAGGGGGAGGTAGCTTCTGTTTGCGGCAAATTTACCGCAAACCTCATTTGCATGGTAAAAGTTTGCAGATGTTCGCCAAAAGTTTGCGGCAAATTTGCAGCAAACTTCATTTGCATAGTAAGTTTGCGGATGTTCGCCAGAAGCTTTTGGTAACACTGCGGCAAACTTCATTTGCATATTTGCCAGTTTCAGCAAATATGTTATGGCGATATTTTGGCAAACATTTTGGTAAAGTTCTGGCGAACAATTTTTACAAACATTGGAATAATAAAAACTAGCTGAATTATAAGAAAACAAATACATATTGGTTTAACACATTTTTTCAATAGAAAATAAAAGAAATATTACAAACATATCAGTAGAATAAAATGAAATTTGATAAATTTATAAAATAAAGAAATTAATTCCCCAAAAGAGATAAATTTTACACACATTTTATTAGCAACTGATTCTATACATATTTGACTTTCATAAATTTCCACTCTTTAGTTATGATGCTATCATGAATTGTTCATATTACTTAATAATCAATTAAAACAAGAGCCGGTTGAACCGGGGTGATCCTAGATACAGAAAAGTATATCTTTTGAAGTTTCAGGGTTATGTCCCAGACAAAGTTCAAAGTGTGATAATTCCAAAATAGTTGTAAAATCCCACTTTAAATAACAACGTTATGGGCCGTACACATTTTTGCTTCAAGGTCATGCTGTGACCTAGACCTTCAAGGTAATGACCCAAATGTTGCATGTGACATATTGTCTCAATATGGTGATCATTTCTGTGAAATAGTTGTAAAATCCGACTTCAAATAACGAATTTATGGGCCGGACACGATTTTGCTTCAATGTCATGTTGCGACCTTGACCTTCAAGGTATTGACCAAAATGGTGTGTGCGACACATCGTCTCAATATGGTGATCATTACTTTTAAATAGCTTTAAAATCCGACTTCAAATAACGAAGTGATGGGCCGGACATGATTTTGTTCAAGGTCATGGTGTGACCTTGACCTTCAAGGTAGCGACCCAAATGTTGCGGGCGACAGGTCGTCTCAATATGGTGATCATTTCTGTGAAATAATTTTAAAATCCAACTTGAAATAACAAAGTTATGGACTGGACACGACTTCAGATTCGTATGTACGTACAGACAGACAACCCAATGACTATATGGTCCGCCGAAATTTTTCGGGGAGCATATAAACAATGTTTGACAATAGCTATTTTTCAGCACATGTTGCAGTATTTCTTAGCACCATAAATGGGAAATATAATATTGTTGTAAAAGCTAAAAATCAGAAAAGTTAAAGTTTGAAATCTTCTATCTGGACAAAAAAGTTTCATTCAAACATGAACTGGCATGGAATAACATACATACTTCGACATCCACTTAGACAAATCACTATTAATAACAATAAATACTAACAATAGCGTTATGTGTTATGCAAAAATAGACTAGACCAATAATGGCTTTCAAAATTGTAAAAATGAATCTCAAAAATATATTTTGGTCTTAAACAAACAACATATTTCATGGACATAATACCTTCAGATTTAAACTCATATGTCATATAACATTATGATTGTGAGCAAAACAATATCTGACACGAACAATTATGGCTTTCAAAAATTGTTAAAATTAATCACAACAATATATTTGGGTCTTATACAAACAACGAATTTCATAGACATAATTTTTTGTTTGCTTGTTTTGGGTTTTTACGTCACATCAACACAGTAAAGGTCATATCGTGACGTTCAGGTGCCCTTCCTTGCATTATTTCAGGCACGAACGGGTATCTGAGTAGAACCACTGACGTTCAGTTAAGCTAGCTGGATAGTTTCCTCACAAGACAGATTCCAAAGTCCCTGTCGGATTCCAACCCACAGCGGTGAGGGGCAAGTGGTTTGAAGTCAATGACCTTAACCACTCGGCCACGGACGCCCCTCATGGACATAATAACTAAAGATTTAAACTAAATGTCTTTAGTCATGTCATATAACAATTGCAAGCAAAACAAAAACAAACTAGAGCAATAATGGCTTTCAAAATTGTAAAAATGAATCTTAACAATATTTTTGGGTCTTATACAAATATAGACATAACTATTAAAGATTAAAACTAATTGTCTTTAGCCATGTAATATAATGATTGCAAGCAAAACAAAAACTGACTAGAACAATAATGGCTTTCAAATTTGTAAAAATGAATCTTAACAATATATTTGGGTCTTATACAAACATAAACATAATAACTTAAGAATAAAACTAAATGTCTTTAGTCATGTCATATAGCGATTGCAAGCAAAACAAAAACTGACTAGACAATATCGTAAGTTTGCATGAAATTGGCTTGGCAATTTATGAGATGTTGTTTAAAGATCAAGTTTACGGACGAAAGATAGACAAAAGCTCGCAATGTCACTTTGTTAGCTAAAAACGCACTACTTTACTCTTTCACTCTTCCAAGTTTCAGTGCCCTGGCCATTGTGTGTATTTTGGTGTTGACTGCTTTGGTGACTAAGCTTCTCTCCATATTTAGTTTATTGGTGCAGTACACTGAAAAAAAACAAGGTTTATTTTTCATTTCCATGTTACCATGTTTATACTGGATAAAACTAGAACTATCACTGAAGGTGAATGATACCCCAAAACCCCACTTTGAAGTAAAGTGGCAGTAATCTATTAGTAAAGCCCACCTACAAATGAAGAAAATAAACACCAAAGGCAATTATTATTTATTGCTGGCTTGATTTTGATCTGTTGGGATGAACATGTATTTGCATTGCAAAACCTAGATTTATTTACAAATGACAAGTGGCTCATAAATTATATTATTTATCTAACTTAGTTAAGAAATCAAGGTATCATGTTAAAAAAAACACCAAAATAACAAACAAGAGCGATCAGTGATCACATGTGTCGCCTCATGATGGCCAATTTCATGTTGGGACAAGTTTTGTGACTGACAGACAGACAGACAGTGCACAACTAGACTTGGTACTGATCATTCCTTTAAAGTTTGGATGAAATTGCACCAGTAGTTTTTGAGGAGTAGTCCGGACAAGCTTTTATGTATCTGGCAACACACAGAAAAAAAACCCACCTTTTCATCAAACTTGCCAAAATATCATTCAACCGGAAAACCTGTGCAATATGTGCAAGGACTTGAGCAACAGATCAATCCTGTAAAGTTTCATTGAAATTGCATTTGTGGTATAAGAGATGTAGTCCGGACAAACTTAAAAAGGGCCATACCTCTGACAAAAATCATTGAATTGGAAAATGCTGACAATATGCACAACTAGACTTGGTACTGATCATTCCTGTAAAGTTTGGATGAAATTGCACCAGTAGTTTATGAGGAGTAGTCAGGACAAGCTTTTGTGTATCTGGCAACACACAGAAAAAAACACCTATTTATCAAAGGGCCATAACTCGGCCAAAAATCATTCAACCGGAAAACTGTGAAATATGCACAAGGACTTAAGCTACAGATCAACCCTGTAAAGTTTCATTGAAATTGCATTAGTGGTATAAGAGAAGTAGTCAAGACAAACTTTAAAAATAAAAATTATTAAAGGGCCATAACTCTGACAAAAATCATTGAACCGGAAATTGCTGACAAAATGCACAACTAGACTTGGTACTGATCATTCCTGTAAAGTTTGGATGAAATTGCACCAGTAGTTTATGAGGAGTAGTCCGGACAAGTTTTGTGACGGACGGACAGATAGACAAGACGACAGAGAAATGATCCCTATATGTTGCAACTACTCCATAGAGGCGACACAAAAATGAACCATGCTGTGAACATGACAGCTAGGTCAGAACTCAAAGTTAAAACCAGGGTAATTCAAATAACCATTAGGATTTTTCTTCTAAATGCCACTGTTTGAAAGAACAATGTTGACTAACCTGTCTTACTTGTATGCAAAACTCACTTTTTCAATTATACATCAATAACAGTGGTTAAAATATACACAGATACTTTTCTGACAAATTCTAAATCATTACTGACATGATGACTGAGAAAAACTTAAAATGTGTCAATAAAACACAGATGCCCCCACACGCCACTGTTCTGTCAATCTTATGACTCTAGGTCAAATAGTTTTTGGACTACATGTGCCACAAGTTGAAAACTAAAAATCAACAAAGGGCCATTATTCTGTTTAATTTAGTTGCAGCAAAAATTCCTTCCTTTACTACCATCTACACATTAAGTTTGTTAATCCCTGGAAGTTTAAGCAAAATCTGCCATCCGGTTTAAGAGGAGTTGCGTTCACAAGATTTTGGGACAGACTGACAAGTGCCACGCTATATGCTCCCACATTGTGGGGGGATAAAAATAATCTTATTTTACTTACATGTTAAACTGTCAAATCCTCTTTTGTGCCAGGCAGTATCTACTGCACTGGACATACCACTGCGGGTTTTACAGGGAAATTTCGGGGAAAGTCTTAATCTGCTGTGAGGTTTTTTAAGATGTGGACCACTTCTGATTTGTTTTCAACCTTTGACTGTCTGTGAGAACTGTAATTGTAAAAATATATTTCAAAAATATTTTCTGTATTTTAAAATTCATCTTTAAACGTTATATTGACAAATATTGAAGATTGAACACCAATGAATTGACAATAACATATTTATAATTAATGTAACACAATGTTCATACAGTTACTAGAATAAGTTTTGTTAATTATTAATGCTAATTGCACGACTTTTTCCTGACCAATTTTAGTAATCACTTTTATGAAATAATTCGGACTGCATATCGATTATTCATCACATGAAGATACATCAAATTGTTTCTATTGAAGACGACCCCAAATAGCATTACAAAAATTATCACAGTATTATCATTTAATTGCTACACCATGATTATAAATATATATAAAAAAAACCTCATAGATTTCAACTTACAGTTTAATAGGCATTTTTTGTTTGATGTATTGTTGAGGATTGTTAATCACAATTGTATAAATCTGACCATTCACTGTCATTTGTAACTGTAGCATATGACTGATGAATAGACCTTGAATATAAAAAAAAATACATATGTACAAACAGTATATGGAGAGATATTCATATATTGAAGCAACTGACATAACACAAACAGTTCAACAACACCAGTCAGTTTTGCATAGTCCTTTACTTTCGTAAATAAACAAAATACAGAAAACAAACTACCAGTACTCACTTTAGTGCTGGCAAACATCTGGCAAAGGACATCCTCCGAGATCTTGTCAATAAGATCTTCCATGATGTTGTGTTCTGATACCATTGATTCTTCATGATGCACATCCCTTAAAAAGAATGCATGTATTTAATATGAATTTTAGTCTTAACCAATGAAGGTAAAATATGATAAACAAGATCAACAAGGAAAGGCGGCGTTCAATGAACGCAACCCCCATATGACCAAGCAACAAGTACCAATGGCAAGGAGCCCAGGCGGACCCAGTTTGTCATGTAGAAATAAATACTTTTTTAAAAAAAACAATTACACATTCATGTTATTTTGAAAAAAGAAATATGTACATGAATATAGAAATATAGAGTAACATGCAAAAACAACAAAGCCATTGTTTAAAAATTCTTTTCTCATATATGGATTGTAATAATATTCATTGGTTCCCTAAACCACGAGTGTGCCAGCAATATAGGATTATACCATGATAAGCTGCATAGACATATAATTACAAAATAATTATTGAAATTCTTCCAATTCAAGTACATGTTATTTCGAAAATATCATTGTAAATGTAAATGTGTCTTACTCCATTTCCTTGATCTTATGCAGCAGATTCTGTCGGCATAGAAGCCAGTGCTGTTTCAATGATATTTCCAACACGTCTCTCCATTTCTTTTCATGTTTTTATTTCCAATTGTTGGTATATTTAGTGTTGACAACAAATTGTTGACCCTCACCGGCCCACCTACACTATCAATCATTGCTGTAAGAAAATGAAAGAAACAAATTATTTCATTAAAGTACATGTATACAAATATTTTGTCAAAAAAAAAACTTCACATGGATTGTAATTTACATAACCATGATAATAACACATTGCATAAATTAATATAGAGCTATTTTTAGCTGCCTCATGTACGTTGAATATTAGTACTACTGTGACTGTGTGTATTGGCAGCCTAGTGTAAACTGTGTCTTTTATATAATGTACATGTAGGATTCTGTAATGTCTTACTAAAAATTGCATTGTTGCAAGATTTAATTTAGCAAAGTTTTATCATTTGTTTTTCAAATTTCTCAGTGACTTTGGGGAAATTAAAACAGTTCAGAGGGAAGTTTATAAAACATTTCACAATAGGAAGTGGCTAGCCGTACGGGCCCGTACGGCTAGCCAAAAGTTCTAGCTGTACGTGAGTCACGTACGACTAGCCAGGACACACTGTATTGGCTAGCCGTACGGCACTTTTCAAAATTATATGGAGTATGTGAGTCACGTACGGCTAGAACTTTTGGCTAGCCGTACGGCTAGCCACTTCTTTCACAATAAGGAGTAGTGTTTTACAGCTAAACACAAACAAGATACATGTATTCTGTATAATAAATTAATTATTTATAAATCTGAAACATAAATTTGGTCCGCATAATTTTACATGTTTGAGATCATTGGAAGACAAGTAAATAAACACTGATAAATCATAATGTATCGATATATTCATTTTGGTACGAGACATTACATCTATGAATTCATTATCAGTATATAGTACTTAATGTAAACTATGATGCAATACATTAATCACTTACCTGTTGCTAATTTTGTGTTGACAACGAACCATGGCATTCAGTGATTTTTTTACAAACTCATCAGTGTGGGTCCTAGGATTCGCTGGGCTATGAATCAATGAGTCCCAAAATTTAGCCGACAAATCCAAGTTACAAGGCTTAATATTGCTTTAGTGATATAAAAGGTATATTAACAATGGAATGAAGAAAAAATGAATTTGATTTCTACGTTAATTACAATGCTTCTGTTACTGAAATTATTCAAAACTGTCAAATAAATTTAATAAGATTATTTCCATTAATTTAGTTTGAGATTAATCAAAACTTCATTTTCCTTAATATTTTTATGCTTATCTATAGTATAGCACATTATTATTTCTTATCTGTAGAAGATTTGCAAACATAACTTGAACACAATTTGGTATTTATTACCAAATTCCTGTCAGACAGGACTCCCTACTCAGAAAAAGTATGCATCCAAAAGATGCACATTATTTGAAACTTTGCATCCACAGCAAATTCAATGAGTCCTGGACTCAGGATGCAGAGGTAAAAAAATCACTGGGCATTCCAACTTTCACAGGTCTTCAATCTACTAGAGTCTGTGTGTTTTTCCATAGGGAACACAATTCACATGACCGCATTCTGTGTTTCGTCATTTCACATACAAATAACCAGACACTCCCTGTTTAAATTCACCTAACATGTTGTCAAAAGTTAATCAGTGCTGTTAATGGTAGCCAACTGGTCCAAGTCTACATTTTTTACAAAATCTTAGGTTTGACCGTAACACGCCAAACTCAACGATTCTTCTTCCCTCTTTCCAACCCTCATTATCAACCGATTTAGGAAGAGTTGATGTCTTGTAGAGCTGGTTTGGTTGACACGTAATACTGGTTACCTGCACTATAGTTATGTTCTAAAATAAAGTCGGAATACTTGAGTTTTTCTGCATCTTTTTACACTTTTTTTGAATCGACCGAGTGTATCACGCTGTAAGACGCCATGTTAGATATCTGCGGAAATTACGTCATTTTCTTGGGGAATACTACCACGTGACCGGGGATATTCGCTATTATTAGAATTCCGACTTTATACGTAAACAAACGAAGTTCGTTACGATAAATGGCGAGATATGGCGGTAATTGTCGAAGATTGCCGATTTCATTATGGGTCTTCTACCTTATAATTGTATTTTCTGATCGCAAGATCAGTAAATACATAGCTAACATCCACGGTCTAACACAAAATTTCCTCACAGACCTAACAACGCAAAGTAGTTCTCACTCTTAACTACTTAAAAACCAGCAATTTAAAAGAAAGAATAATTTTTAATGTAGGCATTAAACGAATTACAGTGCATTTAAAGTTTACATTAGTCAATAGAAATATGAGGTTACAATCACAAATTTCGCGGATGAAAATGTTCGACTATTTTCGTAAAGCTTAATCAATGAAAATGCTATTTTTAGCTTTGTCGATTACCGAATACTCCAGAGCACTCCAGAGCGTAGTACACAAATAAATCTGACTGTCGAGTAATGGAATATATACATGTCGGACTGTTTTGGCGAGAAGATTTTCGCTAAATTATGTTCAACAGTGTTTAACAACAGGTTTATCGTGAAAAAATACCTCGAAATTAATAAGGATTACAAATACGAAATGAAAATTCTCAATTTTAGAATTACAATATATTTGTTTTTATTCACGCTACATACGTATTACTTCACTGTTGTGTAGAGGTAAAATTTTTAAAGAGTCTTTTTAAAGGAAGTAGCCACGATATGCAAGGATAAAGTGTGGCTGTAATAAAAAAATGAAAAATGATTTTTGATGCAACTCTAGGCATGCAAAATTCCATATGTATCAATCACAAACTGTTAAACGCAGTCGCTGCGTAAGATGCATAATAGTATATAAAAAAAAACTTATACTGGAAAGATCAGAAAATACCACAGAGCATGCAGGCCTTTGATTTTTTAACTGTTATTGTGAACTACAATACCCTCCATGATACATATGATGTTTCAATTTGATAACTCTTAGGCAAAAAATAAAAATTTGTTTGTTTCCACTTCCCGACCCATAAAAATAAGGTTGGGTAGGTAGGTAGGTTATAGCACGGACTTTAATTGACATTTAAATCCGTGGTTATAGGTAGGTACATGAAGGACTTTTTTTAAATGTGCAAAATAATATAATTCCTTGGCAAAATAGTTATTTACTGAACAAAGTTGGATTAACTTTCAGAACTGATATGTTTGTGGCGATTATCTGGCAAAATTGTTTTTATAGAAAAGTTTCTGGTGAACTTTCAGCGAATAATTTTTTTGATAGAAAGATTCTGGCAATCTCTGGCAAATTAGTTTTCCACTGAAAGTTTCTGGCAAACTTTTGGCGAACTACTTAATATTCTGGTGAATTCGCCGCAAAGTCGCCAAATGTTTGCCACAGAGTTGCCACTAGTGGCGATATCTGGCAAACACTTGACACAGTGTTTTGGCGAACTAAAAGGTTTGCAGCGAATTTGCGGCAAAGTTGCGGCGAGTTTGCGGCAAACCTTTCCTTTTGGTACGGGGACATATTTAAACGCGACATGACGTCTTTTATCATGGTTTGTTGTACAAAATCTAGGCTTCTTGACCACATATGTTTCAGTGCATGTCGACAAACACTTTGTCCATATATTGTACTGTTAAAGGCATGTCAACAAGTTTTTCTGGCATGTTGATATATCTTATCTCAACTGCACATTAGTTATTATGAGAAGGCTAAAAAGTAAGGGCGTCTTGTCGACATCCTTTCAGGCATGTTGACATATTTATGTCGTTATACTTCTCCGGTCGATATTTGACGTCTTGCATATCCCCTAACGCACTATCTCCACTTTGAAGAGTATTCAAATAGGCTACAAATTCCTACAATCACTGTGAAGTGTATTGATATTGATGGGCGTGGGTTCAACCCCCAGAAGGGGCAACTTTTTTTCTTCCTTTTTTTCTTTTTAACATTTTTATTAATCTCTCAGATCCTTAATGTAAGATCAAAGTGCTTTATTTTAATTATATTATTATTGTAGGTATTTATTTACTTAATAATGCAAATATGATAGCAAATATAATAGCAAATATGATACCAGATATTTTCAAAGTTTAATACAATAAAAACTACACGGTAAAAGTATTTTATATTTTGCAAGACCAACCAATGTACATTTAAAAAAATTAAGGCAAACTTTGAAAACAGCCCCTCATTGTGGAAAATTTTAGGGATATTTTAAAAAAGGATTTTTACATTGGGAAATGGTCAAATAAGTGTTAAAAGTGGGTGGGGTAGGATTACATTTTTATACATATTAAAAACATTTCATGTAAAAACAATCATTTTGCTTGTTTAATTTGTTACTTATTGTCATTATTTGTTTTTTAACAATGAGGAATAGGAAAACATTTTTCATATTGATAATATTATAAATTATTTAGAGTTTCCTCATTTCTGAAAAAAAGTCCTTCTAATGGCAAAGATTTAGTTCAGAAAAATCTCCATAACTCATAAACCACACGGTAAATTTTGTTTAAATTTTGCATACAGGTGACATTTAAGGCAAATAATTGTCCTATGTTGTCAACTTGACAGTTCCTTATAGTGCCCATTAGGGGTGTACTACCTTAACTCAAAATGTCATGATGTCAAGATGCAATGCTGTGTAAAGACACGCATATAAAACATTCAAATCTTACTTATTTTTTTTTTATTAACTTGATTTATAAATTGACGACAGTGCAATGTATCTTAGTTAGGATGCTGTCAATTTATGAAGAAATCAATTTCTTTCAATAAAAAAGACGCTTGCTGTGTTATATATTTGTTATGAAACTTTTACGGGTTATATGGCCGTATATAAACGATTGCAACAAAACATTAGCTAAGCGGTTCGGCAACAAATGGCCAAACCTGTAAAAAAAAAACACAAAAAACAACAACAACAAAAAACAAAACAAAAAAACCCGGTCATTAAACTTGTCAAAAATCTTTATAACTAATATTAACAAACGTGCAATATTATAAAGACATATAGGCAAAATTAAAGATGTTCGACATGTATTCTTGAAACTTGTCATGATTTTAGAATATGATAAACATTTCAAGCCAAAAATCTTAGAGGTCACCGATATCATTTTCTGAATTCATGAATTTCATTGTTTTATTTATTTAACCCTAAGCGA